CTACATTTCCCATAAACAGATTGAATTATGGCTGGAGTTTGCCTCAAAAGCTTCGCAAGATACTGAAAAAACGGTGTCCTCGTCCTTGATTGCACCGACGGTGAAATAATTTGTTGACTAAGGGTAGATTTTTCTTCAAACTTTGGTTCATTGTCTCTCTCCTGTCGCACAGAACCGCATTCAAGGAGCTGTCTTTGACTTTGTTACTCAGCAAGCATTTGATATAGTCATCATGATGCTCATTTGCCTCAACATGGTGACCATGATGGTGGAGACAGACACGCAAAGCAAGCAGATGGAGGACATCCTCTACTGGATCAACCTGGTGTTTGTCATCTTCTTCACCTGTGAGTGTGTGCTGAAGATGTTCGCCTTGCGGCACTATTATTTCACCATCGGGTGGAACATTTTTGACTTCGTGGTTGTGATTCTGTCCATCGTGGGTAAGTGCGACGCCAATTAGGCAGAGGTCTGTGAGCGCTGGGCTGTCTTGGTGTTTGCGGAGTAGAGCACGTTCTTGTCTTTGAAGGGGAGGTGTAGGTTCCAGGACTCGTAGGTTCTCTTTTTAGCCTGGTGAAGAGACTGTGGCAGAATTTGGCAGCTTGAAGTCCTGACTAATGCGCCCTCCTCCCTCTGTTCTGGCATTCCTTTCCAGTTGTGTGGAGCAAAATGCTTGACAATTACCCTCCCTGTCTTTAAAAACAGAAATTTTACTCACCTCATCAGAATGTTATGATGCCTACTAACCACTGAAAATAGCATTGCAGTGCTTCCTACGTCAGCATGTGATCTGCACTCTGGTTTTCAGTTTGGTTGAATGTTGAATCAACCAGTTTCCTCCAACAGGTTTTTGGGTTTTAGCGGCTGGTCCGTAAAATAGGCAACAGCTCACAAATACATGGGGTCGCTCAAAAAGCTTGGCTGGACGCAGCCCTGCCCAGGCACACTGACAAAACACCAACATTTAGAGACTGTCCTGCAGGTTTGTCTGCTGCTAGAAATAAGATATATCTTACGTATTTTAGCACCTTCAAAAGAGTCCCTAGCCTGACTGCCGTGGCAGAGTTAGGCACCAAGAGCTAGACACCCCCAGGAAACACCTCACCCATCCTTATCCAGGTGGAGTGAATCGCTCTGCAGCTGTACCGCTCTCCCTCTCCTTTGAGGAGAACAACCTAGGGAGCCAGAGCATCTAGCTAAGGCCCAGCTGCCTGAAGGTGAGGCCTTTTTTGGTTGCAGACCCCCTTTGAAAAAGCTGACCGAGGTGTTCTGTGTTCCCGGTGCCCCGACTAGGTTCAGAAGAAGCAGCAGACTGCACGTCTCCATGGTCACACTTGTCCCTTCTCCTCCTCTTTAGGAATGTTCCTGGCTGAAATCATTGAGAAGTATTTTGTGTCGCCCACCCTCTTCCGAGTCATCCGACTGGCTCGCATTGGACGTATCCTGCGCTTGATCAAAGGAGCCAAAGGAATCCGCACCTTGCTTTTTGCCTTAATGATGTCCTTGCCTGCCTTGTTCAACATTGGCCTCTTGCTGTTCTTGGTCATGTTCATCTTCTCCATCTTTGGCATGTCAAACTTTGCCTACGTCAAGCATGAGGCCGGCATAGATGATATGTTCAACTTTGAGACCTTTGGCAACAGCATGATCTGCTTGTTCCAGATCACCACATCAGCTGGTTGGGATGGTCTGCTGCTGCCCATCCTGAACCGGCCTCCAGACTGCGACCTAGACAAGGAGCACCCTGGGAGTGGTTTTAAGGGGGATTGTGGGAACCCTTCGGTGGGGATATTTTTCTTTGTGAGTTACATCATCATCTCCTTCCTGATCGTGGTCAACATGTACATTGCCATCATCCTGGAGAACTTCAGCGTGGCGACGGAGGAGAGCGCGGATCCGCTGAGCGAGGATGACTTTGAGACCTTCTACGAGATCTGGGAGAAATTCGACCCCGACGCCACGCAGTTCATAGAGTACAGCAAGCTCGCAGACTTTGCTGATGCTTTGGAACATCCTCTCCGCGTCCCAAAACCCAACACCATCGAACTCATCGCCATGGACCTGCCTATGGTAAGTGGAGACAGGATCCACTGTTTAGACATCCTGTTTGCCTTCACCAAACGCGTCCTGGGGGACAGCGGCGAGCTGGATATACTGAGGCAACAGATGGAGGAAAGATTTGTGGCGTCCAACCCTTCCAAAGTGTCTTACGAGCCTATCACAACCACGCTCCGGCGGAAGCAGGAGGAAGTTTCGGCGGTGGTTATCCAGAGGGCTTACAGGGCTCGTTTAGCCAGACGGGGCTTTATTAGCCGAAGGCCTGTCTCCACAAAGCTGGAAAACGGGGGAACAAACAGGGAGAAAAAAGAAGGCACCCCCTCGACCGCGTCCCTCCCGTCGTACGACAGCGTGACCAAACCGGAGAAGGAGAAGCAGCAACGGGCGGAGGAGGGAAGACGAGAAAGAGCGAAAAGACAAAAAGACGTCAGGGAATCCAAGTGTTGAGACAAAATAGTAGAATTGTACAAATTAAAATATTTGCAAGTGAAAAGATTGTTTACAAACTTCATGAAATATTATCAATACAGAACAGCTGTGGAGACACTTACCTGAAGATCTTATACCAAACATAGTCTGCTTACTGTGTGACAGCGTTGCATCTAAAGCAGTGACCTACCACCTGTTTAAAGGACCCTTGTAAACAAACATTTAAACACACAAAAAAAGGAAAAAAAGTGGATTTTCTATTGTTTGGGCAGGTGGATACTGCATGTTCCACATCAGTCAATGCAACTTAGGACACACAAGCAAAATAAAACACACACACACACACACACAGAAACAAAACCCGCTGCTGGGATTCATGTATTTTCCAAAGCAGCCAAAAATGGATTTTATTTTCCCATTTTGTTGGTTATTATTGAAAGAAAACCCAGAAGTCACAATGTCAAAGGGTTTGTTCATGCAAAACTAGATTTGCATTTAGTTAAGCAGCAAAAAAAAAAAAAAAAAAGAAAAAAATAGAAAAAAAGGAAAAAAGTTAAAACAAGTAAAACAAAAAACCAAGGAAAAAACCAAACAAACCACCCATTTAGCCCATGCCATTTAATTGTCATAGTTTCTTTGATATTTATTATCTGCATTCTACTTTCTACATGGGCTTTACTTGGTTTGGGAGATGGGGTAATCGGGTACCTTCAGCCTGGAGACAGCTCAGGCTGATTCCCCCCCCAAAAAGTGCTCGTTCAGTGCATAGAACCGATTTGCATGATGGCATGCCGCGACCAGGAACCATGCATGAGGAACCATGAAACCACAAGACACTCAATAATCTGTCCACAGCAGTGTGTTAAGCCATAAATTCGAGGCACTCCACTGACTACCGTACACTGTATTTGGAGATAAACTTTAAGAGTAATCGTGCCCTTCACCGGTAATTCCCAGTTCTTAGCGATCTCTCATAGCCCCGCCAGTAGGAGAAAAGACCACCACCACCACCACCACCACCACCAGAAACAAGCAGATGAACTAACCGTGTGTGTACGTTTAACAACTTGTCTTTTTTTTCCATACAGCCATCTTTTTTGCACACTGAAATACAACAAAACTAAATGCTGCTCTGGACCTCGTCCACGGGGAGGTGATAAAACCCGAGAACGGCTTGTTACACTATGTCACTGTAAAACCAAAACCTAGGGCTGAAGTCCCAGTCGGTCCGTTCAGTTGTATCCTGCAATAGTTACCATTAACATGAATTATTGTTCAGCCTCCGTCCTGCAGCGTAGACACTTTTTTTTTTTTGGTGGAGAAAAGTGCTCAG